GCGTGAGCGGCGTATCAAGCCCGTCACCGACGCCCACGGGAACCGGCCAACCGAGTATTTTCACAAAAAATCCAAAATGTGCAGTAAATATTTTCGTATTAGTATATTAATTGAGTTACACAGGTTTATAAATGGGTTTTTAAATACTTAGTCATGAATAATTTTCATAATTTACATAATAATTGTAGGGATAAAATGTGAATTATCTAAGAAATATACGTATAATATATATTTTATAGCAAGACTACGATATTTCGCTTTGCGTTCCATATGTTCTTAGCAAGTAATTAAAGTTAAGCATATTTTGTCTTGGATTTTATAAATAAATTGTTGTGTAAAAAATAAAATTTCATCTACAGCACATAAAACTAACCTTAAAATATTTTTGTTTTCTACAGAATTTTATGAAAATGTAATCATTTTTGCAATTGCACCCCCATCCACTTTAAGAACTCTCGAAAGCCTCTTTAACTCGAGATCTTAGAAAGGGTTGATTCTCACAACTTGGGCGTCTATATACTCATATATTTATAAGAAATAATTGTTATAAAATATCATTTAATTCCAAGAAAGGGTGTTTCTTGTATTTGTTTAAAATATATGAGTGAAAATTCGCAGTAATTATCTATTCTAAAATAAGCAGTGAAATATTGAAGACTATATATTATAGTCGCGTAAATATGTAAAAATAAGCAAAGCTATAAAAATGAATGAAGCTGTGAAACGTAGCAAACCAAACTCAAATAATTATTTTATTTTACACCAGTCGTATATCAAAAAGTCAATAAGTGTGTACTGTGAGCTGTTAGCACTAAGTTTCAGTCAACAACAATGTTTCACACGTCGAAAGGAAGTAAAACGTTTCAGTGCTCACTCAGTGTAGAGCATTTAGACAAGAGTCCTTAAGAGGCGCACCTCGACTCCGCTTGTTGAGTGTTTGCTCCCAGCGCTTACACTCATTACTTAGCACTTCTAATATTAGTAAAGTTATTTTTAAACCTTTTAATAAGTTTTTATATGTATAACAAATAAAAATATATTGAAAGTATTCAGCTGTTATGTTGAGCTTCAAGATTGTCGTATGTTAGAAAACAATAATCTCATTGTGAGCACTTATCTTAGAAACAGAACTTGTATACAAAATTATAATATAAATTAGCCTTATTCTAAATACATGCATGTAATTAAAACTTGTAATCAATATTTGATTAATAATAGACACGATACGTATGTTTAAGTAAAAAAAGTAAATGTGACATATCATACATAAGTAAATGCGTCTGCAAAATTCTACGTTTAAATCTATTTATACAATACTGGCAGAACCCGCGGCTTCGCTCGCGTTAAAACTACAAAGAAATCTCTAAAAAGGTAATTTCACAAACTTTCATCCTCTATGTTATAGGATGAATTTCGAAAAAATGATAAAACACGTATTTATTTAAAAGCTTCAAGTAATTCTGATCATGAATATTTTTTGGATTGTATTATAACGTGTTTTCCCGTGGGAATGAGATAATCTCCCGCTGTAAAAATTAGCCTGTGTCACTCTCCAGCCCTCCAACTATCTCCACACAAAAAAACACGCCAATACGTCACTCCGTTTTGAAGTGAAAGAAGGACAAACAAACAAACACACTTTCACATTTATAACATTAGTATGGATGTCTTTAGTTCATCGTCATAATAAAATCACAAGTAAAAGGTGTTATTCAATTTCCCTGGAGTCGCGTCTAAATCATGTATTCGAAACGCAAAGCCCCAGTAATCAGGCTTGGATTCTCATCGTCTTGCATCGAATGTGATTTGCGTGGTAATAACAGGACTGCAGATCTTAAATGTATTTTATACATTGTTGCAAGGAAACAGACAATTTGTGTGACTGTTTTACTATTGAATTGTCGTAGGTGCAATGAAATTTTGGCAAGGAGATGAAGTTCCGATTATAATAAGTGAAATTTTAAAAATGTACAAAGTGCTTCTAAAAGTCTATTTGAATAAAGTATTCATTTTTTATTTGATTTATAAAAGTAAATTTACATATATATAGGTATAGTTTCATCTAGACTTATTGCAAATTAGAGGTTTAAGATTCATTTATTTCTCAAAAGAATACAATTCACTTACTGAGAAACATTAGTTTTAACTTTTACGTAGGTAACATTATTTTATTGAAAAGGCAGTGGTAGCCCAGTGGTAACGCGCTCGCTTGAGAAACCGAGTGAAGCGGGTTCAAATCCCGGGTCTCGCACCTCTGATATTTTCATGTGCGAATCATTTCTAACATGATTACCACTTGCCTTACGGTGAAGGAAAACATCGTGAGGAAACCTGCATGTCTGAGAGAACTTAGCAAGTTTTCTAAAGACATGTGAAGTCCGCCAACCCGCACTTGGCCAGCGTGGTGGACTATGGCCTGATTCCCCTCGTACTGAAGGGAGGCCCGTGCCCAGCAGTGGGACGATAAAAAGGGCTGAATACAGGTAACATTGTAAACGGGCAGCTAATATTTATATAAAAAATAAAATATATTTTGCAGGTAATACAAACTATTTTATGGATTAGAACTCGGAATAAGAATACTGGAAGTGGCTTTAAGTATAAAATTTTACTGTCATATAATATTATGTTGTTAATTCAATTCAAATTATGTTATTAATAAGTTTTAACTTTAAATTTAGTAACAAGTATAGTATTATATGATCTGTGGTAACAAATACTTTAATATTAAATATAGAAAGATTAGGTTTTTGATGTTTTAATTAATATATTTATTGCCAATATGTATTTTTAATTTCTTTTTAAAAGATTCCATTGTTTTTTCACATTTAATATTGTTTGGTAATTGATTATATAGCATTGCTCCTTCAAACATAATACATTACAAATTATTGCTATTTATCAATTCACATTTAAGAATATAATATTATTAATTTTATCATAATTGCTTTCAACCCGCTAAATAACTCTGTTTCGCACTTCCATAGATATTTGACAATTGTCTGGAATAGATCTCTTCTAGAGATAATCACCTTTACGCACATCGATCTCTTAGTTAATCCCTCTACGACCGCGGACACGCCGGCGTTACAGTTGACAATAGATTTCTTAGAAATTTAATTAATTTCTTAGAAATTTACCTGGTGGTGTTAAAGCTGAGCTAAATAAAGAATGTATATTATGAAAGTATCACGTGACTTTTACTTACTACTAGCGACTCACCCTCACTTCGCTCATGTTCATTCCTAGGTACGTTTTGACGCTTAGTATGGAATAGATTTTTTTTTTCAATTTTTTTTTCGTGAATTTTTACGATTTTTTAATAGTTATTCTTCTATTCGTTGTGAAGACAAATCCAACAAAACAAAGATCATTAAAATCCGTCCAGCAATTCTAAATTGCATTTTTTGCATTGCAAATTGCAAAGTCATATTGATTCTACTTAACAAAATAAATAGACATTCGACCTGTACAGTTTTATTATACATAATTGTATATGTATAGATATAGATTTGTATCTTTTATTTTGCGTAAGTAATAAGATATTGAAAAAAAGAATACCATAAATTATTTGGCCTATATCTAAGTATGAGCAATACCTATGTTATTTTTTTAGTGTAAGTAATAGAAATATAAGAAAAATATATATAATAAAGAAAATTATATATCCAATATAATTAATTGCCAAAATTGCATTCCAATAAGTAAGAATTAAAATTAATTTATCCCGTATTTTGTATTTTGATTCTTTAGTTTAGCTATTTTCATATATTTTTTATGAATATTAACACAAAACCTTTATTTATAATAAAAACTAATGAATAATCCAAATTTATTACGGTTGTATGTAAACAAGCTTATTTTTAAAATAAACATAAACATTTCGAAACAGATACTATAAAAGCTAAACATCAAGCTAATATGTCATCATCATCTACAGTCAATTAATATTTCAAAAAGTGGAATTGTTGTCAGGACCGCAATAATTGCTTGCATAAACGCAAATACGATCATTACAAAAATGTAGTGCGTGCCTGCCGTTCGTTATTTGCGTTAAATGGGCCCATTTGGAAATTAACTGCACGATTGCTCCCGAATAATGTGTTGGTGTAGAGCGATATATGAAACGAGAACGGGAAGCGTTAAAACAAATTAAGGGGAATTTATAAATGGTAAAAGGATTTATAGAAAGCATTTTTGTTAGAACAATTTTTTTTTATTAGCGTCATCTAGCGTCGAGTAGCTTTAATACGTATACAAAATGTATGGAGGCGACTATGTATATCAATAGATGGCGCTTCAAAAGATGGATCCCAATTTATACTATTTTTAAATTACAACATGAAAACATTTTATATATTTAAAATAATAATAACATTACATATAAAGTATTAAAAATATAACTATTTATTTGTGTACACCATGTGTATACCATGCTATAAAATAATGTCTTACTTTAATAATAAGGATTCTAATTTAAGCTTTTGCTATTGCCCGCAAGATGACGCGACCTATTTTAAGGAATTCTTATGTATTTAGATTTATTATTGTAATCTAAAGTATGGAATAATTCTTTAGAATATACAAATTACGTGATAACATAACTTTGTGAGAAATGTACTATTAATTGGTTTTTCAGCAGAAGTTAGTTATATAAATAAAGTTTTTACCCTGTCTTGCTTACGCGTTAAAACAAAGTATATATTATTTAAATCAAGGTTTCCCAACCTTTCTTCTGTTGAGAATCTCCGGATTATAAAAAAATATTTTCATGCCATTTCATTTATTTGCTTTATTTCTTTTATTATACTAAACACATTATTTTACTGATTTTCATTTATTTTAATTTTAAGTTATACAAAATAAATAGGGGGGGGCACCCCTAGGGGGCGTGCTCCAACGGTTGGGAACTCCTGATTTAAATAAAATCAGATTTAGAATACTTTTAATAATAATAATAATAATAATAATAAGGATATTGTACATAATTAATTACATTACAAAATATTTACCTTTATTTGTTCCGTTGCCTTTTTTGCCACTGCTGGATCAAGTATTCGGATGTCTAAGTCCGGTGTAAATTTTTTAGCTGTGTCACTAAACACTGCTGCATTCACATAGTAAGAGTTCACTTTGTCGCTTGTTTCACCTGGCGAATTTGGGGACAAAATACCACTATCTGTGTCACTCACTGATTTTCTAGTCACTATAGATTTTTCACCAACAGGCGATTTCAACGGTATTTTAGACTTCTCCGAAGCTTTGGGTGGTAGACGAGATTGTCGCTGTGTTTCATCGGACTTAAAACCAGTACTAGGGTCAAAAATGACGTAATTGTCCTTATCACATCTTACTTTATTGTTCACAGTTACTGTATATTTCTTGTTTGGGCTTAAGTTCAAAAAGGGGTCTTCACTATCTATTGGACTTTCAGGTATGATTGACTGTATTTTTGGAGTTATTTTTTGTATCGACCTGCCATCAATTGTGCGTCTTACGACAGTGTCGTTTGTAAATTTTAAACGCACATATTCATTAGATATTGTCCTTCTCAATGGAGATGACAGCAGGGGTGACGGTTTAGTCTCTTGTGATATTGCTTTATTTTGAAAGAAATTTACCTTTGGTTTTTCCATGGATTTTGGCGGTGAAAATGGCAATTTTAATTTAGAATTTTTCCTTTTTTGATTGCTACCACTTAAGTCTACGCCACATTCTCGTACATTACTTTTGTATATTGGTAAAACACTAGATTTGTCACTTAATAATTTTGTGTTTGTTGCTTTTGTACTTCTTACAATATCTAAAGATTTATTGAGCTTTTTGATAGGTATTGGAGTTTTTAATCTTCTTTCTTTAGTCTTTTGTGTTGTTTGTGTAGAATGTAGATTTTCTCTATCTGATGAAATATTTCCTACTTTTATAAAAGTATTACTTCGATCACATTTAAGCAAATCATTTCGTGCTAATAATTCTTCATCGATAGGATTATCTAAAAAACTGTCTATTATTATATCTACATCGCCTGATTCAGAATTACTTTGAGATGATCTATTCTCATTTATAATACATGATATTCTTTCTTCTACTTCTATGAGAGAATCAGATTTATCACTTTCACTGAGAGTCCTGGATGTGCCGCTGCCGTAATCAGACGTAGTTTGAGTTTCGAAAGACCCTTCATCTTTGGTCACGCTACGTTTTGAATTTTCAGGGCATGAAGATCTTCTCCTTTTAACCGTTCCAGTTGCCGCCGACGGAGAATCCCAGTCCAAGTGTTGTAAAACACACTGGCCACTCTTTTTAGAACGTCTCGGGCTAGTCATTATTGGCCACTTGCATTATTGTATCACTTGTTATGAATTATAATTACATACTCGTATTATTCTGTTTTGATGTTGGAATAGCGTACAATGTGGGCAAACAGTTGATTTGAAAGAGATAATGGGTTAGTTACATATTGGTCGTTAGTGGAATCGAACACGAACATGCCTCCGGTCGCCGAGCTCGATTGTTATCTAATTACGAACTTGATGTAAATGCCACATGGGACACTTTGCTGATATGTATAGAATACTTAGTTAAGTGTATATGTAATTAAGACATGTAAAATGATAAAAATTGGCTTTACGTTTCTTGATAAATGAAAATGAAAAGCAAATAAATATTTAATACATACGTGGATTAAGCAAACAAAAAACTTAAGCAATCAACTCATAATAGTAAGAACAAAAAGCACGGCAAAGAAAAGATAAACATGTATTTCTTTTTCATTTACGCGTGTACTATTTGTAGACAGGATCGAGACCGGAAGAAGTTTTGCATCGCAAACCTATCTACCGTATGTTACAATAAACTTCCTGAATTCAAAATAAAAGCTCCTGCTTGCTGTGTAAATTTATTTCTACGGTGTTTTTTTAATAGTATAAAATATGATCATCATTCCAATTTGTTGTAATAAATTTCCATATTTATTTTCTTGTATTTGTTTAGTTTTTACTTGACGTTATCAATCCAAACGGAGATTTTTTGTTTGTCCTTTATTGATGCAATAAAAGGAGAAATTAATCGACAAGATACAAGTCGGCTGTAAGAACTGCCTATAGACTGACCTTTTGACTTGGTATGACTTATCACTGCTTCCAAGATTTTACCTTAATTACTTTTTAATTTTAAATTGTTTCATTATCTATACTATAATAAAACAGTAGAGGTGGAATGTCTGTACATAGCAAAAAAATGCTAAAAACCAAAGTCAGGGGGATGTAAGAAGACAAATAGAACAAATCTAGATATGTTTCAATTTTTTTGTTTCTTTGTCTGTTTGTCTGTTTGTACGGGCTAATCTCCGAAACTATTGGACCGATTTAAATGTAATTTTGCATGGTCGTTCCTTATATCCCCGGTCAACATGTAAGATACTTTTCATTCCGGAAAATTAAAGAGTTCCGTTAGATAGTTAAAAAACTATAGTAACTTGTACTGCTTAGTACACAAAAACTTATGGACCAAATTTAGTAAAATTTGGCATACTGATACGTTATATTGCCGGTCAAACAACAGATTACTTTTCATCCCGGAAAAATGAACGGTTTCCGTGGGATAAATCTGTTTTTGTTTGTTTGTAACGTATTATGTACACAATATAGACCCCAAAACAATAGTTATTAAAAAATTTGTCCCTTTGTCTGTTCGCCTGTATGTCTGTTTGTCAGTTTGTCTGTTTGTGTGTTTGTATGGGCTAATCTCCGAAACTGTTGGACCGATTTAAATGAAATTTGGCATGGTGGTATTCCCGGTCAGCATCTCAGATACTTTTCATCCCAGAAAATTAAAGACTTTCCGTGGGATAGTTAAAAAACTATAGTATCTTATACAGCTTAGTACACAACAACTTATGCACCTAATTTAGTAAAGTTTAACATTCTGATACCTTATATTGCCGGTCAAACATCAAGTTACTTTTCATTCCGGAAAAATGAACGATTCTCGTGGGAACCAATAGATCTCCATTAGTCTTTTTCTAGAGGCGAACCCGAGCGAAGCGAGGGTGAGCCGCTACTAAACAATAAAGACAATATGAGGCTTCTGTGAACGTTTTAGTAGAGCACCAGCTCTATTATATTATGTATTAATTAATTTTGCCTATACTATGGACTTTATAAAATAAAACTACCTAGCTAAAAAAAAACACAGCGAGGAATAATTACTACAGATACAGAAATAATCTATCGGCGATTATCACAGAAAAATATAATTTAATTAAATAATTATATTTAAGTTTATTTCTAGTTTGCATAATATTGATTATATTAAATTGTATTTACGTATCTATATTTTCAAGATCCGTTTATATTATTTACCTTACAGAAGTGTCTACTTGGCATAATAATAATTGACTTCATAATTAAATACAACTGTCGTCTCTTTTATACGAAAGCTAAACTAATAAACTGCGGGATAGTTCAAGAGAAGTTGGTAAGAAATTTTGATAAATTACTCCCGAGTGTCCCGCTAGGTAACCTAATTACCCGAAAAGTAAGGGCTATATATAAGTTCACCAACTAAGGGCGTGACGTTACTTGGATTAGGTGTAGGCAAAGTTTTAAGTATAGTACCGGGGCTACCGAGCTTCGCTCGGAGTTTTTGGCCTTGAGTACAATTTTCTTCTTTTTTTTTTAAACTAAGAACTTGAATAATATTAAAAAAAACAAAAGTAAAAACTTTGTATGCGACCGAGATGCGAACCTGGACACCTGTGTTGTTGATCTTGCACCTTGGCCGCTTGACCACGATGCTTACACCAGAGCGTCCAAATTACCTACCATATTTTGCGTGGAATAATGCAAAAGAAAACTCGAAAACACACGTTTTCTCAGACATAAGACTAATCTTGTTCGATTTATCGCCCCCGAAACCCCCCGTGTACTAAATTTCATTAAAATCATTGGAGCCGTTTCCGAGATTCAGATTATATATATACACAAGAATTGCTCGTTTAATCATTAATGAAAATTTGAGGAAAACATATGAATAAAATTTACCTATCTGTATGAATAAAAACCTGTTTCCAAATAATTGAATCGTCAATTTAATTTAAAGGGTGCCAGTGTAGTCAGTCCGTGAGGAAGCTACCACCAGCTCGGAAAGCAGTTCTGCTAAAAAGAGCGAGAAACTCAACTCAACAACAACAAATATTTATTGATAACACTAAAGCTCGTCAATAGCTACTCAACAAAAAAAACAGGATGAAAATCTATTATACAGAGGATAAAAAATATACTAAACTGTTCTGTCTTTGCTTATATATGTATAAATCGTAATATATATAATATATTCATAATACATAAATGGCTAAAATATTATACGAAAACCTACAACGTAAAATATTTTTATATATCGCAACTATATTCCTCGATGGTGAACTTTCCAATTGAACTTTGTTCAGTTTCTTGGTGCATGAACTAGAGGATTTGTGCCGTCTGCATATTGAATAGGTCGAATCAATTCAGTGGAATTTCAATAAGGAGAACCTTAAATTTTATAAAATTTAAAGGAAACAAAAAGTTTGTATATCTTTATCATTCATTACGAACTTGCAAAAAAAACAAATTATAGGTGAGAATCATATAAAAAGATGTAGATATAAATAAAATATAAATATAATAAAATACCAAAAAGTATTAGAGGAGTAAATAATTCTTTCTTCATAACGACACTAAGGCGTTCTGATTAACACATACAACATATAAGGTATAAACCGATATACTCGTATAGGAAGCAATCTTAAGCGCCTAGTACCTTACTAGTATTTACTTAAACAATGTAAAATCCGTCTATATGAAGGGATTTTTTGGAATTCAACACCTCAAACAAGATGGCAAATTTTGTATGAATAATATATAATCTATACATATAATAAAATTGTAACTAAGCCGAATCTGTACATTAAATATTTTTTGGAAAATCTTATTGAAATAAACTTTATTATCGACACAGAGGCCGAATCTATAGTTTTTTTTAAATTTTTGTCTGTCTGTCTATCTGTCTGTTACTGCATCACAGAAAAACCACTAAAGGGATTTTGATGAAATTTGGTATGATGATAGCTCGTTATCCGGGTCAACATAAAGGATGCTTATTACCGCGAGAAAAGGTCTCTTTTCTGAGAAAAATACAAAAACTTTTTGATCATCTGAACGCGCGTGGAGCCGCGGGCAATGCTAGTATTTCAATATACTTTTGTAGACAGGTTAAGTGTGGACGGGAGAAATATGTTATGCTTTTTATTATGAAAATGAAAATATGTCTGTAAAATAGAGCCACTATGTATTATTTTAGGTATTAATTGTATGTAGATTTTTAAAATTATACACGTTATTCTAAAAATAAATGTCTCTTTCGGAAAATATTTGAAAATTTGTATTTGGTTATAGCATCTACTTCATTGAAAGTTAATCTCACAACAACTTAAAAGCAAAGATTTAAAAATTACTTTCTAATTAAATGAAAAATCTGCAATTCGTTTATTTTTGCATGCTTAAATATTTCTTTACCCTAGCTATTCTCGTTTGAGCAGAAACAGAAACTTCTCCACGACTCCTTCTAAGTGATTTAGAGGCGCCCTGTGATCCATTGGCAGTACACCCTTAAAGGCACTGCCTTTTAAGGATGTTTCATATAAGGCCTTGCTAAACTACTACTACTGAAAAATAATTAAAACTATGTTGCGTTTTAAAAGACACTCTAAGACTGTTTAAATAAACATTTATGTTAATGTAAATATATTCATTTTGCAGTAAATATATTGTAGTCAAATTTGTATTAAAATAACATATTTTTATATATTCTTTAGTTTCAGAGTTACATATAATAAATATATATTTTTTATTTAAAAAACATCAAATTTTCTTTGCAGGAAAAAATCTGAATTTATTTTACTTAAGAAATCCAGTTTGTATGAAACGAGGAGGCACACTTGCAGTGCTTATTGCAAATTCGTCTTCCTTCCCTTCTTCTTAAAGAACGTTGAAGTGAGACAAAAACTTTAAGGAACTGAATTTGAAACGATATCCTTTAAATAGGTCAGGAAGGCGAAGTTTACGTCGCCATTTGGCATTAGGGAAACCGAAAGCAATAAAATCTACGGTTTAGAGGCTGAATTAGAAAATTATTCAGGGCTAAAGTTATTTGAAAGGGAGTTGTACTATAAAGTAGATTTAGTGCAAATTAAAATAATTTCATTTATATTGGATATAATTTGTATAAAGATATGATGTATTTCTAGAAGTTATTTCAATAACAGCCACATTAATTTTGAAATGCA